GCTTTCAGGTTTACATTTGAACATCATTGGCCGAGTCACACAATCAATGGGGGGCTGAATTATCGTAATGGAAAGTTCCTGTTTTGGCGTTATTTTTGGTTTCAGTTACCGGCGATTTTGTGTTATAAAGAGCATTGCCCAAATAATCTGGCGTGTGTCAATAGGGGGGTGATTGCCAAATAACAGAAGAGCAGACAAAAATAATGGCAAAGTTTGAGTAAACACAAAGTGGAAAAGAAAACTTTGGACTGTAGTTTCATTTTTGGGTTTTTAATTGCAAGTTTGATCAAAGGGGGGATTATTACAATACACAGTGATTTATAAAAAACGGCCTTCACAGATTAATTTTACAGTAGATACATATTCAGATTCAGCACAGCCATTTTACTCCTTGCCCTCGTTTGCCTTTCGCTTCTTCTTCGGTAGAATACCCTGCAAAAAAGAGGTTTAAAAAGTTAGCTTGGCAACAAAAAAGCAGCTAAACACAAACCATCATTGCACAGAGAATTCCTAGCATAATTTCATCTGCACCACCGGCAATGGAGAGGACCCGGCTGTCTCTGTAATAATGCAAAACAAAAAATGTCAATTTCAATCACAACTGATAGCTGTACAAAAGAAGAAGCTTACCGGTAAGCTCGTGAAATGGGCAACTCCTTGGTGTAGCCCATGCCGCCGAAGAATTGCAAGCACGAGTCTAAATTTTTAAGAAAAAAGGAAATCAAAAAGGTCATTAGCAAAATCAAAGTTTAGTAAACAAAATGAGATTCCAGTTTACCTGAGACCACTCTCGTCAGACGACCTGCCTTCAGCTTGGCAATAGTGGCCAGGTACGTCATATCATCACCTTCCATGTAGCCGTCTGCGAAAAGTTGTGAGATTCAGATGCAAAAATGCTTGTTAGTTTAGTTCACCAAATCATCATCATCATCATCATCAGTCAAACAAAAAAAATGGTACTAACCAGCAGCACGATACACCACCGACCTGGTGACAAGGACGACAGAATAAAACAGATTAGTTCCGAAAAAAAATTCAAGTTCAAGCAAATTACCTGAGACACTCCACATCAGCCTGCAGCTCCGCCAGCTTGAAGTGAATGTACTGATTGTCAATCAGCGGCATATCAAAGGTGTGTCGCTGGCGGCAGTACTCGATCGTCCCTTGGATGATCATGTTCATCGATTCGACGGCTGTGTGGAGGAGGAGAGGAGGAGAAGAAATTCGAATTCGAGTTGGCTTTTATATATAAAACAGAAATTCCCTACCTGAAGCAGCGGCACAGAGGCGTTCATCCTGAAATTGCATCATCTGGTACATGAAGCCCATGCCCTCTTCACCGATGATGTTCTTCGCCGGCACGCGAACATTGTCAAAGTAGATCTCCGCAGTGTCGGAGGAGTGCAGGCCCATCTTCTCGATGCGGCGGGCAACGTGGACGCCGGGCGTCTTCATCGGCACGATGATCAGCGACTTGTTCTTGTGGACCGGTCCTTCGCTGGTATTGGCCAGCATCGTCATAAAGTCCGCCTGGGCGCCGTTGCTGATCCACATCTACAACACCAGAAGACAATTTAGAACAAGAGCTTTTTTCGAACTCCACCACCACCACCACCGACTCACCTTCATTCCATTGATCACCAGGTCGTCGCCCTCCCGTTTGGCGGTGGTCTTCAGCGCCGCCACGTCCGAGCCGCCGGAGATCTCACTGACGCCGACGCAGGCGAGGTAGTCGCCGGCGATGGCCGGCACCAGGTAGTTTCGCTTCAGGTAGTCGGAGCCGAAGCGGACCAGCGCCGGCAGGGCCATGTCCGTGTGGACGGTGATGGCGGTGGTGGGGCCGGCCGCCTCGATCTTCCCCAGCTCCTCGAAGAAGGCAATCGAGTGGCCGTAGTCGAGGCCGAGGCCGCCGTACTCGGGGTCGCGGTGGATGCCCAGTAGGCCGGCGTTGCCCAGTTTCTTAAAGAGCTCCTTGCTGGGCATGTCACAGGCCTCCTCCCACTCGTCGACGAAGGGGGCGATGTCCTTTTCGATGACCTGAAAGTGAGAGGAAAAGAGAGAGATTTAGAAATATGAAACAAAACAACAAAGTTCAAAACAAATAAACCTTCTGCGTGGTGGCTCGAATCTCGTCGTGAGTCGCTCCAAAGGTGAGACATCGGGCTGGGGTGATGGACGACGGCACGAGGGCATTCTTCAGGTGTCCACCTCCAAAGCTGGACGACTTTTTCAACAACAGAACCGAAGACGAAGCCTTCAACAGACGAAGGGTGCTTGCCATCGTGGTGGACGCTGGTGGTGGTGATGGAGGTGGTGATGATCACAGGTCGCTGATGAACACTGAACAACTGCACCGACACTACACCTTTGGTAAAAGACGTCGAGGTAAACACGAATAAATAAATAAAGCAGGCTTCCCCAGCGTCAAGCTCAGTTTACGCAAACTTGTTCCTCTTCACCGAGCAGCAGTCTTCTTCTGCTGAGCACTGCTCTCTTCTCCTGCGCTCACTTCTCCTCTCCAGCACCACCAATACCACCAATAGATATACACATGTACCCGAGGACATTAATAAAAAAGTGAAAATTAATAACAAACAAAATGTCACCAAATCCAAATGGCAAAGAGCCACCGAGGACAGTCATCACTGTCCATCAAATCAGTTGGAAAATGTCAGCAGTGTAGAGGGAAGGCTATCCCGCGATCACGAATGTAAACAAGCCGCAACACATCGGTGGCACACAATTTAGGTGGGAATGGTCGCGGGAATGGAGTGTCAATGGAATTCTATGGATTTCTGTGATTTAGAATCTTAAATAGCAGAGCATTTTAATAATATAAGGTGCAAATATAATATAGAAGAGAAGAGAAGGATAGGGAGAGGTATCAGCAGCAGCCGGATATGGTACATGCGTTGTGAAGAAGAAAAAGAAGAAGAAAGTGGGGTATAGCTCAAATCAGATCAGATCATCAGGTGGCGAAAGAGAGAGAGAGAGAGAGAGAGAGAGAGAGAGAGAGAGAGAGAGAGAGATATTGATGCCATTGAGCATTGTCTCTCTCCTTCTCTCTCACAGTAGTTGCCTTCATTTTAACTTTCTCTTTCTTTTTCTCTTTNAAATAGGTAATAAATGTTGATTACAATTGCCAAATTAGTTTATACACCACTTGCAGGTGTGAGAGTGTTTCAGATCATCACTCAAATGCACTGAAGTTTAATTGTGACCAGTCATAGCAGTCATCGCCTGCTGTTGCAGCTGCTGCTGCTGCTGCTGCTGCTGCCGTCGGTGCTTGCTGAAGTGGACCATGATGGAGTTCTTCCAGGGCGTAACAAAGCCGCAGCCGGCAAAGTGGCACTCGTACATCGTCGCGGAGGCCGCCTCCCGATGGACCCGCTTGTGCACGTTGACGTTCCCCTTGAAGTNGGTTACAAAGCCGCAACCGGCAAAGTGGCACTCGTACATCGTCGCGGAGGCCGCCTCCCGATGGACCCGCTTGTGCACGTTGACGTTCCCCTTGAAGTTGGTGCTGTAGTGGCAGCCCGGGTGGTCGCACTTGTACGGCTTCACGCCGGCGTGCTGCAGCTGGTGGGCGATCAGGCACTGCTTCCACTTGCTGCTGTACTCGCAGCCCACCACGGCGCACCGGTGCAGCACTGGGCCGCCATTGTTTGGTTGATGCTGTTGCTGTTGCTGGTGGTGGTGGCCTTGTCCGCCACCGCTGTTGTCCTTGGTCGCCGAGTCATTGCCCTCCGAGGTGTTTAGCTCAATCAGCTCATACTGTGGTTGCTGAAAGGACTGCTGGTGTCGGCTTTTGTTTTGATTGAGGTTTTCATCCTGCTGAGTTGCCCCTCCTCCTCTTCTGAGGTGCCTTCTCACCGAGGACTCAGCAAGGTCGCCACCGCTGCTTTCTTCCACTTCAGCACCCTCCTCCTTGATCGCCAGCTTTCGCTTTTGACCTTGCTGTGGGGCTGGGGTTGTTAGCTGCTGATGTTGCTGCTGTTGCTGCCTCCTTTCACTGGCAATAGCAGCAGAGACGGCAGTCGAAGTGGCAGCGGCAGCGGCAGTGGTGGCTGTACTAGTGTCCATCCGATGGCGGTGCTTCTTGTGCACCTTGATGTTGCCCTTGTAGTTGGTGAGGTAGCTGCAGCCGGCGACGTCACAGCTGTAGAGGACCTCGCCGTCGTGGGAGCGCTTGTGCATGACCAGCTGGCGGCGGGCGCTGGTTCGAAAGCGGCACCCGGGGTGTTCGCAGGTGAGCACCATCGGATTGCCATTGAGGGCGTTGAGGGTGTTCAGCTGTTGGAGATTCTGAAACGAAGTCTCCGGCCGCCGCCTCGTCTTCTTCCGCATCTTCAGCAGTGAAGTTCCGGCGGCAAAGTCGCTATCACTGAGGGTGCTGCTCTCCAGGTCATCGTCCCCTTCCTCATCATCGTCATCATCACCATCCTCATCCTCCTCATCATCATTGTCGTCTGCCGTTGCCATGGACACCTCGCACAGTTCGAATGGCATTGTGCCGCCACCACTGCCGCCGTCTCTGCCGAAATTTCTTTCCTCATCGACGACCTCATCGTCGCACCCCTCTTCGAATTCTTCAAACTCCCCCTCTTCCATCAGCAGCTCACCACCAGCATCACCACCCTGAAGTTCAGACGAGGACTGCTGTGCACTGTTGTTGTGATTGTTGTTGTTGTGGTGATTGTTGCCTCCGTCGCCAATGGAGAAGGTCGCCGAGTAGGCGGTCATTGCCTTGTACCGCTGCTCCCACAGCTTCAGCGAGCTCTCCAGTGAGCTGATGCCGTGGTGGAGTTCGCCCACCTGCTCGCCCTTCGACTCGTCCATCGTCACGTCGAGCAGCTGGTAGAGCTGGTGAATGTAGTCCCGACTGAGGTGCTTGATGTTCTCCAGAATGTGCACCGTGTGATTCAGCGTCCAGATGACGTCCTTCACCTCGTTTGCCTCGCGCTCCAGCCGCCGGCACCGCCTCTCTCGCCGGGCAATGTCGGCCATTGCGTTGGTGGCGGTGTTGTTGTTGGTCATCGTTGCTGAAGAAGGTGTTCCGCCGTTGCTGAGCAGAAGAAGCGGAAGTTGACCTTCAAAGGGCGCTGCCCTTTGAGAGCGATTCCTGTTGTGGTGGCTGTTATCTTCTGACGGAGGAGGAGGAGGTGACGAGGGTGACGACGACGACGGGGAAGGAGGGGAAGCTGCCATTGGGGGGATTTAAGAGAAGTGAATGAGTGAGTGAAAAGAGTGATGAGGAGTAGTACGAGTAGTAGTAGTAGTAGGATACTTTGACAGAAGTGAGGACGAGGAAGAACTTAAGGTACGAAGATTAGGATTGTGTAAGTAGCAGTGAATGAGAGTCGCTCGAGGCAAGAATCAGTTGNATTTAAGAGAAGTGAATGAGTGAGTGAAAAGAGTGATGAGGAGTAGTACGAGTAGTAGTAGAAGTAGGATACTTTGACAGTTGTGAGGACGAGGAAGAACTTAAGGTACGAAGATTACGATTGTGTAAGTAGCAGTGAATGAGAGTCGCTCGAGGCAAGAATCAGTTGAGTGGTTCAGTTGAGCGGACAGGCTGGCTGGCTACCGCTTCTTCTTCTGCAGCTTCACTTCAGCAGCTTTGTTCTCCTCTCAGCAGTTGCTCCTTGTCCGCCGCCGCCGCCGTCGTCGTCGACGAGTTGTTGTCGGTCGGCTAGGCTGGCTGCTCCTCTTCACTCGTTTTCTTTCTTCTTTTTCGCAGCTGCTGCAACGTCGGCGAAGGCAGTTAGCATCCTCAGCAGCAGCAGCACTGAAGAGTGAAGAGCTGACCACCACCAACAGTTGCGTTACGCCTTTGCCTTTGCCTTGTCTTTCTCTCACAGTGCCTGCCTGGCTCCAAGAGTAAACAAACCGAAGCAGCCTTCGCCGCATCACAGCATCTCCGAAGAGTGCCCGAGAGAGATTTAGGTAGCTAGGCTGTTTGACCGACGCCAGGGCGCACTTGCAATTGATACAAAAGGCATTTTTTAAAGCAAAAGTATTTGCCATTTTTACTGGCAGGTATTCCTTTCCCTCAAACGGTAATCACAACAAACAGTACTGATAAAAAGTAGCCACTTGAAAAGATGGAGTTTTTTGTAAAAGGAGGAATATTGCGAAATGGAAGCAACTTTTATCGGTGCTTGTTTCGATTTTTCAGCTGAGCGAAACTAGTTTTACTGTATGTTGCACTAATTAGCATCACTTTCATCCGTTTACTGTTATCAAAGGATTACATCAGCATCACATAACAAACAAATCACAGCTTCAATCTCAGCACCTTGGTAACCGGTCGCGCCACCTATACGAGGCTAATCTCAACCACAAGCACCGCATTACGTAACAAGTTCGCACTTCAGACGAAATTAGTACGCCCGATAATTTGTCTTCTTCTGCTAAAGAAAGTACACCCTTAGCTATTTTTAGCACAACTGCTGCTGTGCATTTCTTCTAGGAAACAATTTCGCCCAACGGTCGCCCAGCCGTCTAATAGAACTTTCTTCTTCTTCTTCTTCTTGGACTGAGTCTGTCTTGCACTGGAACAGCATCCCAGCGCAACAATTACTGCACAGGTATTGATATTTGTTGTTCACACAAAGGCACACAGACTAATTACTGAGTGGGAACACAGCTTTATTTCATGAGAATTATCTGGGTAGGATAGTTAGTAAGAAAAGAAGCTACAAAGTAAGTGAGTGCATTCTGTGCATTTTCTCAAAAGTGTTACTACTAAGCCGTAAGCTAACTACAAAAGCACTGAAATTGAGCTCATTCAGCAATTTTTGTTTATTAGTCATTTAACAATGTTGCCTTTTTTAAATCTCTACAAAAATTATGATATCTGCTGATCATGATGACTGATAGAAAAAAAGTTAGCATCGCCTGGCGCCGATTATTCTTTGAGGCAACCGAATGGCAGAACAACAACAGCAAAGTTCCAAACTGGAGACCAAAGCGGAAGACCATCCTGAGCTCCATTTCCGGCCACTGCCTGGCGGGCACGGTCACCGGTCTGCTGGGGCCCAGCGGAAGCGGAAAGACCACCCTGCTCAATGTGCTCAGCGGCAGCAGCCGGCCAACCTCTGGGCGGATCTACCTGGCGGAGCAGCCAAAAGCATCAGCAGCAGCAGCAGCACTTCCGGTTTCCTACTACGTTCGCCAGCACGTCCACGAGAGCATCGTCGGCGAGCTGACTGTAGGGCAGATTCTGCGCTACGCTTTTGCCTTCAAAAATGGACGATCAAAAGATTCGGATTCTGGGAGTGTTGTTGAAGACCACATGAGAAAGACGCTCTCCTCGCTGATGCTGCCACCGGAAATAGTGGACCGCCGCTTTGAGGCGTGCAGCGGCGGCGAGAAGAAGCGCCTCTCCATTGCTCAGGAACTGATGGACTGCCGCCGGTCGCCCGATTTCCTCTTCCTCGACGAGATCACCACCGGCTGCGACTCGGTGAGCGCCTTTGAGGTCATTTCCGCCCTTCAGCGGTTGGCTGCTGAGCATCAAAGCAGTATGACCATCATCGCCTCAATTCACTCGCCAAACAGCGAAACGCTGGCGCTCTTTGATCACCTTGTGATTCTGGCCAAGGGCGGACACGCCATCTACTCGGGTCCACCGCAGGAAATTGGTAGTTTTTTGTGCGAAACAAAGATTATGATATTGTCATCCTTTTTCGACCACCAGCCGCCGATTGAGGTTTTGTTAAAGGAGGCGTGTCATGGTAATCTGAACTTTACTTTAACTTTTTCACAATCTAAAAATAAAATCTTTTTAGGAATCGACTCTCCAAACGTCCCAAAACTCAAGGCGGAAGTTCAGCTGAAAGAGCTCTCCTTTATTGACCAAAACCTGTCCGCTTTGGCCCACCAACGGGCCGGGTTTCCTTCAACGCGAAAGCCCTTTCGCCTGGGCGACCTGTTCACCTCAATGGCTCGCCAGCTGCGCATCACCTTCCTCGCCCAGCACCGGACGGTGCTCTTTCTTCCGCTGCTCTTTCTCCTCTACTTTGCCTTCATCTCAAGTGCGTTTACCTTCAAAGGGCGAGCACGGACAAAGTGTCTGACGTTGTTTCCCACCAATAACACTTTGATTGATGTTGAAAACTTTACCACTAAGATTAGTTGTACAACAGCAGCTGAAGAAAAAGAGGAAGAAACTAATGAATCCAATCCACAACTTCAACTTTTAGACGCTGAAATGAGAAACGTCAACTACATCTCTACTACCGTTCTTTTTGCTGGACTGCTTGTCCTCATCACCACAACTGCTCTCTACTCCAAGCACCTGAAAGCCTTTCAGGTGGAGCATCGAAATTGTGAGTGCCTTAAATTAAGGTAATTTAAATGCATTTTAATAACTTTCACAACTTTAGACTGGTACAGCATCGGCGTCCACTACCTCTCTTCAAATCTAGTGGCCTTTTTTGAACTTAATCTAAACGTCCTCCTCCTTTCGGCGCTCAGTTACTTCCTCTCTGGACAGCACCTCGATGAGGTGGAAAAGGGCATCAACTGGGGCCGCTTTGCCCTCTACCTCCTCTTCATCTGGCTCCTCTGCGTCTACTACCAGGCCATCGGCCAGCTGGTGGGCAGCTTTCTGGTGGATCAGCCGGTGCTGGCACTCCTATTATCGCAGCTTATTTACGCCCTCTTCACACTGCTGAATGGACTCTACTACAAACTGCACCGAACGAGGTTTGAGATGTTCGAACGGCTAGGCAACCGCCTCGGCGCGGTGTACATCACTAAGGGCATCTACTACGCGATCTTCGTCTACCAACGGTGTACGGAGGCGGGGCAGTACTCAAAGGTGGCCGTTGACTATCGAATTGAGTGGGTGACTGAAGAAAGAATCTGGGCCGACCTGGTACTGCCGGTGCTGAT